TTTCACTCGTGGCTACGCCACTCGTGAAAATATTGCATCTGGTGTTCACTCAGTGAAATTATATTTCAATCTTACATGCAAAACAAACAAATATCCTCTTTATAAACTGCAAGTTATAGAGCTGAGATATTTCTAGCTTAGTAAAGTGAACAACAAAACAAAGTTGTTCTTAATTATCTACATGTACTACACAAACTTTTCAATTTCCAACGTTTCAAGGGGTTAAACCCCTCTTTTTCAAGAGTTACTGTTTTGTTGTTGTTTTTTTTTGTTTTGAAAAAGAGGGTTTTAACCCCTCGAAACGTTGGAGATTGAAATTTGTGTAGTAAATAACTTTTAACTAACTGTTTCCAGAATGATTTAAAGTTGTTCTTACCATGATCGGGGAAATACAACCAAGTTTTAACAAATTATCACATTAGTCCCGTCTTTGCGGTACTTGGTTTTTGAACTGAAGTCTCTTGAGACAGCAATTAATATTACTTTACTCTCAAACCCTTTAGCCTAGAGCTTCGATATTTGGTTTATGGCATTGTTTAGTTGTCTACCATGTTTGTTCAAATTATGACCAAGGGTGGTCTTGGTCACATTTGAATCAACCTCATGGGTCATTTCTTTTTACGAAAAGAATTAAAAGCTCGACTTTTTGCGATGTGATTGGCCTGTGATAACGATATGTTTTCGTTTTACTTTATGTGTTTGTCATATAGATTACACTAGAGTGAAAACTTAAAAAAATATTTTTGAATCATTAGCGAAATACTTGAAAAACATGACCCCTTGGCCAAATCAGCTTTCCCTAGGAATGAAGAGGTTAAATTATAAAACCTTTAGAACTTTATTACTTTAATGGTATCAATCTTCATAGTTGTTTGATACCTCTAAACAATGGCGTTCATTTTTCATTGTGTAATGAGACATTTGCACAAGTTTGACCTGTACTGTAAAGTTAACATGGCAAAAGGAAAACCTTGGTTGTGGTTGCATTTACAGTAAAATATTTTAAGAAATCTTTTGAAAATTTGTCAAATATTAAGCCAGTACATGTTTCAGTTTTACTGTATATGTACGTTCTTAGGGAACAAAAGCTTTCAAAGTTGTTGAAAGACATTATTTTGATGCAGAGTCCCAATTGCCATGACATTCAATTGATTTACATTGAACTTGCCAGGAAAACTATAAATTCTTCTTCACCACAAAGTGAACAGAAAAGAGATTGTGCTTGTAAATTTCCTGTTGGACAGTTAACAAAAGATGCTCAAATAATTTCCCCTGCAACTAATGTAACCTTGTCTGAAAGATAAGAGTTAATAATTGATTAAACTTGTTCAAGGCGATCGTTATTCAAGAACTATGGTTTGCATATTGTTTCTCATTTTTATGCTGAAAAAATTAAATCGTATCCTTTCTAACATCAAAAAACCCTATCTAACATGGCCTATTAAGGACAATGTACAATTTTAAACAAATCAGGCATGACATTTTGTACTTTCGGTTTCTAGTATCTTAATTATAAATATATAAATATAATGCATTGTTTACTTTTATATCTATGAATTTACTTATTTTAGGTTGACATTTCTTAAAAAGTTGTCAACAACTCCCAGCATTAAATTACTACTTGTTTACATGTTTAGTTTCCTAGCATAGGTTAGACTGAAGTACCGTATCCGTTCTATGTATTCATACTATTGTGTTTGAGGTCCTTACCTGAAGACTGACTGAAAGGGCCGAACATTTGCGATTGGGTTATAGCTAATAAAGTGGTTTGGTTTTAAAACTACAAAAGTACAGCCAGTGTCAAACAATTGTTACAAGAACTTTTGAGCTCACCTGAAAAAACGTGTGTCGTCTGAAGTGTATCATAACTTGTTAACACACTAGAGGCTACACTTTTAATTTGATCTTCATCAAAATGCTCATACATATATTAGTTAACCTTTAAATGAATTCAAAAAGTCTCGGTCGGGGTATGTTTGGGCTCAGCATCAGCTGTTTGGATAGTCAATTCAGGGTAAGTTTGCCCCAGTAATTGGACATCTCGGATAAAAACCAGGTCACATGACGTTAAAAATACGAGCTGTCAGAAGAGACAGCTCGCTCGACTAATTAAATACTGAAGCAGTACTGGAATACAAAATTATGAAGAAATTAATTATGACATAACTTTTTCACCACATTATAAGCATGGCTGTGACAATTTCAATGAAAATGAAAATGATATTTCTTTTATTTTGTAGAAGACAATTTGAAATTTGAAGTCTATCCCTTCAATAACAAAGATGATACGTTCAAATTACTAGTTAGTTAGTAAAGAAAGTAGAAACATTACCATGACACACGATCTTACGAAGTTGGTAAATCATATACTTAAAAAGATCAGGCTTGCTTATATCCTTAGTCGCAAGAAGAGTTTTTAAATCGCTATTAAATTGTTAAATTGAATCGTAATTACAATTATACAGTTAAGTAAGATATTTTAATTTATGATAGCGGTAGCTTTGTTTAAGCAGCTTGCTGGTAATGAAAATAGTCCGTTCGTTAAAATCGTTTGCGTGGCTACAAGCCCTAGCAAATCTGATAAACTGAGATACATATACACCGTAAGATGTTGCATTCTAAGTGTGGATGATTTACTGTCATCTCTCTTATCATAGACTTACGTATGAATAGTTTTGTTGTTGTCAGTAATATGAAGATCCAAAAACAATGTACATGTACTGAAGTTTCAAAAATTTGTTCTTGTTTTTCAATGGAAGGTCATTGGGATAGATATTAAACACCATTTGATCCAAATATAAATTATTTAAAATGAAAAATCATCAATTTGTGTTATTAAATGCTTCTATTCCTATGAGTACCCATAGGAATTCCTATGATCTGTTTATATAGGGTATTACCAAACCTGACATTAATGTTATCGAAAATAGAGAGTGCTCTTCAAATTTCGTCACAGGGTCCACGATAAAAATTGATACGTTAATCAATTATTCTAAAGACGTTACGTTTCCATGTAACTAGAGCTTTGCTATCCTTGGGGGAGGAAGTGTTACACGAGGGATGGAGTTCTTATGATAACTTGTCAAGGAGTTCTTGCGATAACTGTCACGGAGTTCGTCGGAAAACTATTGTATATATTGCAAAAACACTCGTCAAAAATGGTGATTTTTCATCTTTAAAAAGTGAGTTTTAGGTGCTTAATTAAACTTTAATGATTAAGCTTGCCTTGCATATTGTATTATGTGGCAAAAACTAATTCATAGTCCATTTTTCATCGCCTCTTGCTTAAAATCTGGTAGTTTTGAGTAAAATATTCAAATTATTTGCCAATTCGCAAGTATCGACCTGTTTATTTAAGTCATCATCCTTGCCATACATAATTACCTAATGATAATACAAAATTGCAAACATAAAGCCCCGGCTAACAAATTTATACCCGATTTTTCAAATGTCCCGAGTTCTTGTGATACCTGGAGTTCTTATGATAACTTTTGTTACTGCCAATGTGATTCTTGCGCTAAATCACGGCACGTTTTAGCGTTTTTTATTATTTAATAAGGAACATTGTCTTAAAACTAACTGAAAAAAAAATTCAGAAAATATATTTTTACTGCACAAAAACTTTAACCACGGTCGTTAGTATGCGACGTCACATTTGCCCTGATGATCAAAAGAGAAACCGATTGGCAAATAATTAAATAAGTTAAACCATGGACTGTGTTTTTTGCTTTTTTATATATGTAATAAATATACGAGTATATACTTTTATTTATTATTATATTTATATATAATGTTATATGGTATTATATAGAGGATATTTGTTTATTTGTGTGTAAGATGAAATTTTATTTCATCGAGTGGGCTTTAAAAACAGTATTCTCACGAGTGGCGTAGCCACGAGTGAGAATACTGTTTTTAAAGTTCACGAGATGAAATAAAATTACATCTTACACAACAACCAAACAAATTTTCTTTTTATTTTATGCTTAAAAACAAGTTAAAACGAAATTTCCATAATATTAACGTTAATATTAAAATCTTTTTCCCCATTGAGAGCCCCATTTAGTCGGAATTTATCATTAAATACAAGAAGTCTTGAGCCTAAAAAATTAGTTCCACAATCAACTTTAAATGACGGTGAAATTATTCATTTTATTAAAAAAAATATGAATGATCGCTTGTTTTAATAATTAATACAAACAATTGTTGTAGGAGTAAAAGTCCAACCATCCATCCATATTTCCGTTACTTACTGCGAATTTATATTAGACCTGGCTTTGTTAAATGTAAGCGGCAGCCATCTTTTAAAGTTGTGTATTTCACGGGAGGAAAATAATTGTGTTTGATTCAGACGGATATCATTTGGATTTGTTAGTAATACACCTTTTTAAAAGAAAGAAAACTTATTTGAGGATTGTAACAGACAAAAAATAAGTGTTGACAGATGTGAAATCATTCAAATAGCAGCAAGGAAGATGGAAAACTTCAAACTAATCAAAGGCTGGCTCAGTCAGGAACGCTGGGTTGTTTACATATTCTACGGGGATAGCTGTCATTGCTTTTCAAGTTTTCATAAAGCATACGGCAGTTATTGCTCGTAGGATACTTTAATATGCCCAAATGTCATCAAGAGCAGTTTTGCATGTGGAAGAAATGTATTTTTCAGATTGCAAAAATGAAACAATAAAATTTAGAGAAGAAATTTGGTGATTGGAATTTAAATGAAAAGAAGTAAGTTTTCTTCTTTTTATTACTTTTGACATTAAAGTTATTTATCAATTTCAGTTTTGCTTTTCTTTAAACAGCCTGACATTGTCAGAATTGTCAGCAAAAATAAAATTGAGGTACCACATGGGGAAAATCTTTAAAAAGTAGTTTCGTCATTGAAAAGTGTGAAATTATGTTTCGATAATTTTCACTGCGAAATTATCAAATATAATTTTCACGGATAAATCAGTAATCCACTGAAAAGCATAAAATAAATAACCAATTGTACATACATTGGTAAAGCCTTGATTGGTAAGACTTTGCGCATTATATGGTCCAATGCCACCAACCTGTGTAAGGGGCTTATTTCTCGTCAGATCCTTTATAAACAACCATGCCTTTTTAGCTGTCATGTCAACCTGAATGATATATAAATTTAAAATAAAGGATTACTCCTAATAATCTCGTTTCATGTCTAAGGAATGCACTAACAGTTGGGGAGCCTGAAGAACAGAAAAATTCAGAAACTTAACCTTATACTGTAAATATAGTAATGCGTTTTGCATCTCATGAGTAGACAGTAAAACTTAAAAAACGTCTTCTAAATCAACGTAGCATAAAACTTTTAATATCACCATAACAAAATTTAGTGGGGGGTATATATGAGTTTATATATTAGTTTTTACTATATACATATAAGGAAAATCAATGATCCCCGGGGCGGGGCTAATTTTAACCCAAGGGCCCTTATTTAAACAAAAATGGTAGACACCCATGAGAAGATGTTTCATGCTAAATATCTTAGCTCTAGCTCTTAGGGTTTTTTAAAAGATTTTGTTTTAATGTTTACTATATACATAAAGGGAAAAACAATGATCCCCTAGGGCGGGGCCAATTTTGACCCCAGGATTTTTATTTGAACAAACTTGGTAGACATTAACTAGAAGATGTTTTATGCTTTATATCTAAGCTCTAGCTATTTGGGCTTTTTAAAAGAAGATTTTTACGTTTTACTATATACATATAAGGAAAATCAATGATCCCCTGGGGCCGGGCCAATTTTGACCCCAGGGCATTTATTCGAACAATTTTGGTAGACACTGAATAGATGATGTTTCATGCCAAATATTTAAGCTCTAGCTCTTTCGGTTTTCTAAACGTAGATATTTTAAGTTTTTTCTTTCGGTTGCCATGGCAACAATAGTTCTCCTTAGAATTAAATTCTTTGAACAATTTTAAAAGTTGACTACCAAAGGAACATTCCTGTGGAGTTTGGATGAAATTGGCTTAGCCGTTTATAAGGAGATATTGTTTAAAGTAAAAGTTTACGGACGGAGGCAGGACGAAAAGCGATCACAAAAGCTCACCATGTCATTTTGCACAACACAAAAAATAAACTTATTACGAGCTCGAAGAGCATATACAAAGGGCTTGCTAAAAAATTGAGCATTACTGTTACGCAAGTAAAAAATAGATAGTAATGTATATTTTGAACTGAACTTGTACTAACTGTGGATGGTAGTGATGGAAATTTCTGGGTGATAATGCTGTTTCTTCAATTTGGAGATCAAAATAATATCTATTTATATTTATATCTATAAGAAGTTCATGAATGTAGGAGCACATTTGGCATAAATCTCTATGTGTCCATCTTAAGCGAGTTTTGTGCTCATGTTGAATTTTCAAGTGTTATATATCTTACATTTGTAGCATCTATTTTTTTTACTTCTATATATATGATCCACATTAATATCTATGACGAAGCAGGAGTACTTTAGTAACATAAAGCTTGCGGTGTCAGCGGTCAATGGATACAGCAGTGGACTCCTAAACATTGGGTCACATATTCTAATTCTGGAATAGTAATTGGGTCACGACACCCATCTCCCGCTCCAGAGATACTGTAATTTAGTCTGGGAATGTCCGTATAAACAACACTTTTAAATACATTAATAGCAAGAACGATATATTGACAAACATGTATTTCATGATAATAAATTAAACAACTATATACATTTACTCGCAAAATACAACATATACAAATGTTAATACAAATCAATTCTTAAAATTTTCAAGATCGCGTATTGAACCTAAACAAATAAAAGCGTTAAAATGACAACATGAAAACATTCAATATAACCTGGGAACGATTTTTTCACCCCAATATCGACTTATTTACACTTGTGCTAGCAATCGGAATCCGAACCTTTTATCCATTTTTTTCTCATCCAATAACAAGGAGATAATCATTTCGTGTATGCTCATAACCTTATGCTATAATCATGAGTTATTGTTAATAAATGTGTAAGCAAAAATTTTTGTAAGGTTAGTAAAGGATGATTACCTGACCTATACTCATTGTTTGGACGGGGAGAATAAATTGGATTGGAACCAAAAATAAAATGTTTAAAACTTCATTAAAGGGATATTCAGGCAAAATAATGACAAAAATATCAAAATGGTCTTATGTACTCAAATCACGCTAAAATTACTTTTCTGGTAGTTTCAGCTTGAATTTCTTTTTAAATTCTATATATTTTGGGTTTGAAGCGTAAATATATCTATTTATTACCCTTCCAGATTTGTTCCGCCTTTTTGATTGGATATTGATCACCCGAAAGAAATTGATATAACCGAGCCAGACGGGTAATATACACACTAAATTTCCCCGTTGGGTACCCAACGTTGTAAACAACATGCGCTGAGGTGATGTGCGTACGGTTCGATTTTACGCGGTGTAAATTCCGATTTACAAGCACTTTTTAACTGTCAAATGATAAATATTTACCAAAGTAGAGTAATGATACATATTCTCATCAGTATTTATTGAAAACAAATATGATCTTGTGAAAGCTTGATATTAATTACAAAAAATTGCGTTCAATAGACTACTCCTTTTCTCTTGTTTACATTCGTTAGGTACGGGAAAAAATACGTCATGTATTTATGTGACGTCATGTTGTGATGAAGGGGTACCCTAAAGGGTATCTTATTTCGAAGTTTCATGTGAAACAGCAATGATTTTTTAAAAAATCGTCTAAACTCGGCAGGGGAAGGGTAATAAAATTATTATTTTGGTTTTGGAGTGATATATGTGGATATATTACCTGCCAAGATAAAATATCACCCTCGCCTAACGGCTCGGGTGATATAAAATCTTAGCAGGTAATATATCCACATATATCACTCCAAAACCAAAATAACATATAATATGTTGAACAAAATTTAGACGCCAGTAGAATCACCAAATAGTTTAAAACAAGTCAGGTGACTTGAACAAACCCTGAAGTTACAATAACAGATATTGTTGATATTATATGATTGATACAAGCCTAAGTCATTCATTTGACATGTTCTTTAACGTTTCAAGAGTTTTCCAGAGTTCATTTTGACAACTTTTGTGAAATGCTAGCGCTCTAACCTGACCCACGCGGGTCAAGTTAGGAAACCACCATTTCATTCTTTATATGGAGAAAAGTTTTGTTCTTTTGACTGTCTAAAGTATTCATTTTGAGGGCATTTACAGAATAATAAATGAAAAATTAAAAACTAAGAAATGAAAATTTTGCCTGTGTCTCCCTATAATTAAGGACCATTCATATTTCTTACAGAAATTGTACACCATATATTAGCCTGTGTTCCAGTCGGCAAATCGATATTATCAAAAACACAAATAAGTATGAAATAATGATATGAATATGCAAAAAATATCAACGCCTGAATCCCAGGCTAGCCATATATATGACAAGTTCAGGCCGCTACCTTCTCAAAAATGATAAAAGATCTCCCAAATTGATCCTTTGTTTAGATGTGTGAAGTTGGCGGCCCAGCGGCATGGCGGCGTGAAGTTGGCGGCCTGGTGGCGTGAAGTTGGCGGCCAGCGGTCTAGCAGCTGGCGGCGTGAAGTTGGCGGCCTAGCGGCTGGCGGCCAAAAATTAATGTTGCAGAAATGTTATTTTAACAATGAAACGGCATTTAATGAAGTTCTGAAGACATTTCTTATTATTTAAAGGATATATAAAAAGAAAAAAATCACTTTGAGATTTTTTTTATTTAATCATATTTTGTGAAGTCAGCGTCTTTAGAACTTCATTAAATGCCGTTTTATTGTTAGATAACATTTCTGTAACATTATTTTTTGGCCGCTGGGCCGCTGGCCGCCAACTTCACACCGCCAGGCCGCTGGGCCGCCAACTTCACACATCTCCTTTGTTTATATATCTTTTAAATAACAAGAACTTTATTTAATACCATTTCTTTTTTTAACATGTCTATAACCGTGAATTTTACGCCGCTGGGCGACAAGGCCACCAACGTCACAAAAAATGATAAAATAAAAAAGTTTTCTCAATGTGATATTTTCTTTTTATATATCTTTTATGTAACAGAATTGCCTTAAAAAACTTCATTAAATGCAGTTTTATTGTTTAACTAACATTTCTACAACATTAAAATTTTTTGCCGTCAGGCCGCTGGGCCGCCAGGCCGCCAACTTCACAAAAATGATCAAATAAAAAAAAAATTCTCAAAGTGATTTTTTTCTTTTTTATATTTCCTTTAAATAACAAGAATTGTCTTTAAAACTTCATTAAATGCCGTTTTATTGTTGAAATAACATTTCTACAACATTCAAATAATTGGTCGTCAGGCCGCTGGGCCGCCAACTTCACAAAAAATGATAGAATAAAAAATCTCTCAAAGTGATTTTTTTCTTTTTATATACCTTTAAATATCAAGAATAGTCTTAATAACTTCATTATGTCCCGTTTTTATCTCATTTATAACATTTCTAAAACTGTAAAAATTTCCGGCTTTTTAAATAAAACTTTTTCTCAAAGTGATTTTTTTTTCTTTTTATATATCCTTTACATAACTTAAAATAACAAGGATTGTCCTCAGAACATCATTAACTGCCGTTTTTATTGTTTTTATAACATAACAACCACCAACTTCACGCCGCCAGGCCGCTGGGTCGCTAGGCCGGCAACTTCACGCCGAAAGGCCGCTGGGTCGTTAGGCCGCCAACTTCACGCCGCCAGACCGCTGGGCCGCTAGGCCGCCAACTTCACACATCTTATATTGCCAACTTTATTAGCATAGATGGTACCAGACAATATCAAAGTTTGATAAAATAAAAACTACACGGTAAAAGTATTTTATATTTTGCAAGATTAATAAATATACGTTTAAAATTTAGGCAAACTTTGAAAACAGTCCCACATTGTGATAAATTTTAGGGATATTTTGAATAAGGCATTTTACATAGAAAAATGGTCAAATAAGTGTTTAAAGTCGGTGGGGAAGGGTTACATTTTTATACATATAAAAAAACATTTTGATTAGAAACAATTATTTTGCTTGTTTAATTTATAACCTGAATGTTATTATTTGTTTCTTAACAATGAGCAATAGTAAACATTTTTTTTAAATGATGATAATTATTATATATTTTTTAAGAGTTTCCTCATTTCTGAAAAACAGTTTTTTAGGTAAATTATAAAAACATATGGTAAAAGCATCTAATCAAAAATAAAGGACAAAACAAACAACATACCGTTATGTTATTAATTCACATTTATATAAAAACATATGGTACAAGCATCTTATATAAAATAAAGGACAAAAAAGAACAACATACCGTTATGTTATTTATTCACAAATAGACAGACTCTTAAAAAAGAACAACATACCGTTATGTTATTTATTCACAAATAGACAGACTCTTAAAGAAGGAAACATTTCCCCGCAAACCAAAATTTTTTAACCGGAAATAAAATCATCTGCTATCTTTTATTGTTTTAGAAACCAAAAGTACAAATTGTATGATTTAATGTAACATTGGTTGCCGCATTAAACAATTCAAAAAAAGGAAAATATTAAATAAAAAATATCTTTATTTCCTCCAAAAGAAGAGCACATGTATTTAAGTAATGAAAATGTAATATATGGCAATGAAGATTCAGGATCATGTAAATGGCATATTCACACACAAAAAACTACAACAAAAAAAAAACCCCGAATTGTGTATGCGTAATAAGTACAATGATAATCCTTCGTCTGCTTTTTGAAGCGCGGGGAGCACACGTGAAAAGATTGACGTCAGAATACAACTGTTATGTGAACGCTTCCGAACAAAGATTTACAGTCCATATAGCTGACAACAAAAGTATGTCAAAGCGATGTCACTTTCACTCTGACTAGCTTAATTATTGTTAGTGATGTTGATTTTATTTTACAGATAAAACCCAGGCCCCGTGTTCACAAAGATTTTAGTATCAGGATCAAGATCAGGATCAAATTTAAAAACTCTAATATTCTTCATTTTTATCCTCATAGATTATATAATATTAATTTGATAAAACTAGACTTGCAATAGCAAGTTCATGAAATTTTAGAATAAATTTATTGTCATTTTTGCAAGATACGGGCATTTTACAGTTGATCCAGATATTGATCCTGATCCTAAAATTGATCCTTATTTTGATCTGAATATTTTTGTATTTGTTTTGTTAATTGTTGATTTTATCCCAAAATAGTTTGGTTTCTTTGCAAATCAGCAATTTTTTACACTTTGAATATCTACCATTTAATTCTAGGAAAGCATGATTAATTTTAGTAACATAAAACAATGAAAATAAAATCAGGATCACTTGATCCTGATCCTGATCTTTTGTTAGTGAACACGGGGCCAGGCTTTCTATGGATGCCATGAAATAAAAAAAACATTGAAAGAAAAGTCAACTCTTTTTCGATTCCACGTAAGAAAAAGTAAGCATGTCCGTCTATTTGGCAGATCTCAAACATGTCTTATTTTAGATTTTTTACCATTTTTCTACATATACATGCTCAGATTTTAAAACCGCAAACTACGAATTATCAATACAAGAAACAATATTAAGGATATTATGAAAAAAGAATAATACAGAGAGGGAAACAAATCACAACACAGTTTTTCGGTTAAATAAGATAACAATGTATAATTGATGATAATGTTTTCCATGAAGTTTCGGTTGAGTTAATAAAGACCATAGGAGCAATTGCACAAGGAATAAAATATGATAAACCAGATCAACAAGGAAAAGGAAGTATTTTCTTGTATATTAAGTATGTGAAAACAGAACTTTGTTTTCACAAAAAAAAAGAAGAAAAAAAACAACATAAAGAAAACGTATCGCTAAATCCTGTATGATTCAGTGCATTTGATGACAATGGCACCGTACGAGTTATTTCTTCTTTTAAATCAGAAACAACTACCGTAGGAGTTCAGTAGCTTAAAAAGTCTAAATTTTATAATTCTGCAAAAACTTATCAAATCACAAAACTCCTTTAATGCACTCGGGAACATCAAATGATAAAGATCTGAGAAAGTTTTTTTTTTAAAAAATATGCGCAAGTAGATCGATTGTGTTCAGTCGTCCGTCTGTGTACTTATAATTGGAATTGAAAAAAGAAAGCTTTATTAAATAGCGTTCATTTATGGGCACACTCAAAAGTTGAAAGACTACACCGTACGTATGGCTTTTGGCTCATTGACACTTTTCTTATCTAAATTGTTGGTAAAAATAATGTTAGAAGTCAGAGAATATATAATCTGTATCATTATTATGAAAAAAGAAGTTTTTCTATTGAAAACCACCTAAATGTTAGTTTTCATAAACATAACGAAAGGTACAACAATTGAAATAAGTCGTTTTTTCCACATCTTCGTTGTCAGAGAGAACATCATAAATGTAGTGTCAAAACAACTTAAATAGTAAATTTTCAGATTTAAACGAAATTGTGTTTCAGTTTAATCATTAATAAATAAATCTTACCTTAAATCTGTCACGTTTTAACATTTTTTCACTGAATTGTCGAATATATAACTGGAGTATTCAATTTATTTATCATCTGCAAACATTTCTTCGCAATATTTTATTTTTTATGAATGGAGAATGTCAATGGATACTTTCGAATTACTTATATCTAGTTTTAAATTGCAAATAAGGAATGTTCTGGATTAAAACAGATAACGATAATTAAATTTTTAAAACTGATCTTCTGAGCGTGCTGCGCAATACTAATAATGCCAGCTATAAAGGAACACGCATTTGATTTGTAAAAAGTTTTGCTTACTTTATCAGATAAAATTTATAAACTCAACGCAATCGTGTAAAAAATACTTCCTAAGCGTTGATTGTATAGTTTATATTCAACACACAAATGCAGTAATTATTCAATTCAAATGATTAAAAGAGTATATTCATTATCTTAGAAATATATAAAATGCCTTATAAATTGTGTTTATGTATGTAAATTATACTAAATTTTGTCCGAAATTTGTGATGTGTCTCAGAGATTAGCTAAATGAAGCGACCGTTTAGGTGCGCAAAAGGAACAATTTGCACAATACACTTCATCAATTTTTCAGAAACAGACCAGAACAGAGATTTTAAAAGTACATCATCTACAATACATAATGCTCACATATATAGTAACAGCATGACACTCCATAAAAATATGTCTCAACTAAGGTCGACGTCTGTATTCCATGCAATGTTAAATAAAACAAAAATCACACGTCCGGGATGAACCATCTTTGACTATTTGTAATGTCTTATATATTGGAGACAATCCGTTAAAGTACTTTATACACATATATATATAACCTGCTGTGTAAAGTTAGACGTTAAGCAAAATTAAACCTTAGTTTTAGATGCTGATCAGCGGTATTTTTTGCTACGTCTGAATTTTTTTTCTTTTTTATATAATGCTTAGTTAAGCATCATTATAAAAGCTGCACTTAACGGGTCATACATTGTTTAAAGTATGAGTCAATCATTCACTTTTTTGTTCAAACTGTAGGTGTCTTCAAAAATTGATTATACCTGATTTACATTTGGCACTATTATAAATGGTAATTTACTTAATATTTCAAACCAATGTCAATTATGCATTGCAATACAAAGGTTATCTGATTCTGCCCTAGAATGTCAAATTTATAACAATAGCTAATTTAAATGTACGAGGGGCCGGGGACAGTCGGAATAGAAAAGATATATTTATCTATATTCGTGATAAGAAATTTAAGATATATGTTTTACAGGACAAACACTTTACAGGCAAAGAACCTAATATTATTAGAAGTCAATTGGACTATGAATCTTACTTTAGCAACTATAGTAGTCAGTCGAGAGGTGTTGCCATTTTAATCAACAACAACTTTGAGTTTGAATTACAGTTCGTTGAAAAAAGACAACACGGGGAATCTTTTAGTCTTACTTAATATTACATATAAAATTGCATATGCGTGTATTGCTATTAGAATTAAATCTGTATTAGACAAATTGATAAGTGAAGACCAAAGTGGATTTATCCCCGGGAGATTTATAGGGGATAATATTCGTTTAATTTATGACTGAACAAAATAATATTCCGGAATGTTATTTCTAGTCGACTAAGCTGAGGCGTTTGACTCCATTTCTTGGTTATAAGCAGAAGGGGGCCTGTCACCGTATATATTTGTCCTGTGATCTGAGATTCTTGCTTTACTAATAAAAAAATCGATATCAAATGTATAAAATTAAGGGTTTCACAATATGCAGATGACACCTCTTTGATATTAACGGTTCTGACATATCTCGTTTACACTATGAAACTTATAAAATTTTATGCAGATATCTCTTGTTTACATATAAATGTTGATAAAACAAGGGCGTAAATGAGAAATAGCGATTTAGGGTTATGTCCGGAAAAAGGTGTTAAATGGGATAAAGGACTATCTAAATTATTGGGAGTAACTATATCTACAAACATTATATCTATCAGTGATCTTAACTATCCTTTCAAAATAAATGAAGTTCGGACTGATTTGAAAATAAGGTCTGGGAGATAACCTACTCCTATAAGAAATATTTCAGTGATTATGACGCTTGCTTTGTCAAAATTAACTAAACTATTTTAAACTTTACCAAATTCTAAATTTGATGTAATTAAAGAGTTGAAAAATGTATTTTTCAAATTTATTTGGAATGATGCATCGGATAAGATAAGTAGAATAAAATTCACACAAGATATATGTAATGGTGGGCTTAGAGCGGTTAACTTATCACATTTCATTAGTGCTTTTCATTTCAATAAGACTTTTCTCTTCAAACACTAAATATGCTTTTCATGTACAAGAATTGTGTCCCGCTCTTTTTCCGTCGACCAAATATGGTAGAGACTATCTGTAACGAGATAAAAGTAGAGTCAACAATTTGCTTTGGAATGATGTTTTGAGTTCATATGGTTTATTTCAACGTAAGATTTGTACAAATATTTGTCCAATCCGGTATGGTTAAATCCTAATTTCAGGATTGCAGGAATATACATGTATATGTTTGAATTTAAACATAACTTAAGCAAACTTGTTACGTTTGTCAACGATTATGTAAATGAAAATCGGCTGTTTCTCAGTTTTCAAGAATTCCAAAGATTATTTGATGTGAACTCAAACTTTCTTGAATATGAAGGTATAATACGTTCCTTCAGAAAAGTTTTGACAGATTTTCATGTAAAGCAAGACGATACCATAGTAAAAAATATCCAATTTTGCCAATTGCAATCCAAATACTAACCAAAAGTCGCAAAGGATGTCGCGCAATATACGATGTGCTGGTTAATAATAATCGTCCTATACAAAATCAGAAATAAAATGGCAAAATGCTTTTTTCTAATATTCATCTTAACTGGAGAAGTATCTACTCTCTACCCTTTAAAGTGACTAAGGATACAAAACTTCTCTGGCTTCAATACAATATACCATCGTATACTAGGTACTAACGTTTTACTGAAAAACATAACGACAACTGTTCATTGTGTAATGCCAACCTTAAAACAATAAAGCATTTATTTTGTGAATGTGACGTTAACAACGTACGTGCATTTATAAGGCACCTGCAGGTTTGATTAACAAAAAAATCCGAATACATCTTTTCAATTTTCAAAGCAATCTGTCATTTTCGGCTGTTCCCGTTTTACAGTCCCAGAGAATAAAATATTATTATTATTGAAACAATACATTTACAAATGTAAAAGGAGGTCCATTTTGCCAAGCTTAAAAGTTTTTAAAAATCAAAAAGATTCTTAGATTTGAGGCCGTAGAGGGTGTATGGAAAGAATACATAAGATTGGTCAATGAAAACGAGTGCCTAGCATTATTCGCTGTCAGAAATTTTGACACTTACTCATTGCTGTTATGTTACTTAACTCTCAAGTGATTGAACGTTTGTGCAGAGTCAAATTTTCCTTTAAAAAAATAAATAATAAGAAAAATACATAAAGTGCTTTGCAAATGTATGATCCTGTGTGTATTTTTTCAGAACATTGTTATTGTGTCAAATGTCTTAGTATTTCTTTACACACCTTCTATTACTCGAATAACTGTATGCATTGTACAATAAAGAGAAATAAAAAAAAATCACATTTGACGAAATTTGATGGTAGTCCTTAGACATTTATATACCAAAACAATTTTTTACTAGTTTGTGGTTTTATAATTCATAATATTTAAGAAGAATTGCATCCTTATATCTTATCAAATAACTACGTAATACTATATATATGTCAGAATCATAGAAATCATACTCTGGCGTAGCAGTGCGCAATTATGATTATAAACCAATTGGATGTGAGATCCGAAACAACCTCCTCTTAAAAATGACAAGTTTTGGCGTAGATGTCTAATGACAAGTTTTGGCGTAGAAGTCTACATCTGGTGGAACTAAGAGTACTGTATGACAACCATACTGTGTCGAGGAGAAGATGTAAGGAATTACACGGCAAAAATTGTATTCATTAAATATATCGTCCATCTTTATTTGCTTTATTGTTGTTTTTAGATGCGTAACTTGTTATAACATGTCTTTAATTTGTTATTGGGCATTATTTTTCTTTCATGTTTCACATTCCTCGAACGTTGTACGAATGTTTTATTTTCATTAGCAAATGTTTCATTTATTACCACGTCTTTAATTTACTATTGGATATTATTTTTTCTCCCATGTTTCACATTCCTCAATCGTTGTTGGCAGTTCATGTGATGTACTTTCAGGAAGACGGAATGACAGAACAACGGCTAGAAGACACATTCCACCAAAAATTGCTCCTGGAATCCACATCGCAACCAATGCCTACAAGGAAGAAAAATTGCGTGTTTCAGATGGGAATATCCCATGGACTAAGCCCAACAATTCTCGAGGAAACTGTATAAACTTTGAAAGTAAATAATTACAAAGATGAGCGACGTTTAGTGAATTAGTGAAATCACCCTCCTTTAATACCAATCTACATAGGACCACAAGGCATGCATTAAGCTTGACAAGTGGGGAAGGGAGTAAGTTCAGGTATCTTAAAATTGATAAAAACGTTCGCAAAAGTAGTTAAGTATACACAGAAAAAATCAAATTGAAAGTATTATCTTATAACATTAGTTTGTTCATGGGAAAGGTTAAAAAATAAAGTGATTGAAACTGTACATTAAAACTGTACAAAATAATAATTTTATGTCATTTATCAACATTAGTGGAATATAGGTATTGGGTCAGGTCGAAGCTGGAGGATTATTTTCAGACCGGCTAACTCTGGAGTTAATTTAACTGTTATCAAGTGCTGGATTATTTTTGCAACAGGCGTATTATTGAGACAGGCTTATTAGTTTTTCGGGGATCCATATTTACTTTTGTTTCAAACAGTAAAAGCATATCAAATAATCATTGCTGTGATTTTATTTTATAAATGACTTGTCCTATTTTAATTCTCTTCTAGCTTGTTCTTACCAAATTGCTGACGAAGGGTGCCAAAATCCCACCAATTCTTCCGATAGACGAAGCGATACCGAGTCCGCTATTCCTGAAAATATTGTCAATTTATCATATTATGGATTTATCATCAAGTTATAACTGTAAAGATCAATATTTCTGATGTCCTTGTCGTTACATATTACTACTCATTCCATTCTGCGCAAAAATCCTTTAAAGGACAAATGTAAGTTGTTTTTAATTAGATCACACATCGGCGACCTTAATAGCTAGTAAAAGGTAAAGATATAAGATATAATTTTGATGATTAGAAAAAAGACTAATAGAAAGTCTCCTAACCTAAAATTTGTAGGATATATCTCGGGTGTATATAAAAACACTACTCCAAATGACCCGGTGCTCGCCAACTTCCCTATCAGTGAAAACCCTGTTGCAATGATACTAGATGCTTCGTTGTTACCTTAAAACACATACATTGCTGAATATCTACCTGGTGCAATATATTTCGCAAGTGAAACACTTCTAAAATCATTTGATACATTAAAGAAACAATTTGATACATTAAAAAAAAACAATATGATACAGTTAAGAAATTATTTGATACATTCAAGAAAAAATTTGATACATTTAAGAAAATACATTTAAGAAAAATTAGATACATTTTAGAAACTATACGATACATTTACCGATACCTTTATAACAATGTTGATCTATTTTGGCCATAATCATAGTAAAAAATGAAAATAAAATGGTACATATTTGTACATTGTTTGAAACTGAAATTCGCAGTATCATTAGCTCTGCTTATTTTTCAAAGGAAATGCTTATTAGTAAAATGATAATCTTGAATAGGAAACTATTTTTTTTATTTTAAATGAAACGTTTATTAGAAAAATGGCAATTCATCGAAAGAACATTATTTTTTCAAAAGAAATGTTTATTAGAAAAATGAAATTCATTAATAGGAAACTATTTTTTTTTAATTTTAAATGAAATTTTTATTACAAAATTGAAATTCATCAAAAGGACACTGTTTTTCAAAGAATTGTTTATCAGAAATCTGAAATCTAGCAATAGGATTCTGTTTTTATGTCAAATGAAATGTTTATTAGAAAACTGAAATTCATCGGAAGAACATTATCTTTTCTTAGAAAACTGAAATTCATATACAGAGAACTGTTTTATTCCATTTGAAATGTTTATTAGAAAACTGAAATAATCCTAAAGAACTTTATTCAAAGACTATGATTATCAAAAGACAAAAAATCACCAGCAAGACTGGTTTAATTTCAAACGAAATGTTTAACAAAAAACTGAAATTCATAAATAGGAAACTGTTTTGTTCTTATTTTAAATAAAAATTATGTTTATAAGAAAACTGAAATTCATCTAGAATAGGACGCTATTGTCCCTCATAAGAAATGTATATTTAAAAACTGCTATTCATGAATAACAAACTGTTTTTTTTTATTTCACATGAAATATATATTAGAGAACTGAAATTTATCGGGAGGACATTATTTTTTCAAAGGAAATGCTTATTAGAAAACTGATATTCATATATATATAAAAGACTGTTTTATTCCGTTTGAAATGTTAATTAGGAAACTGAAATTCATTAAAAGGAAACTGTTTTATTTCAAATGAAATGTTTATTAAACAACTGAAATTCACCGGAAAAACTTTGTTTGAAGAATATGTTTATTTAAAGACTAAAATTCATCGACAAGAAACTGCTTTTACTAGTATTTAAAAATAATGATAAAAAACTGAAAGTCATTAATATGGAAACTGTTTTGCTTTTATTTTAAATGAAAATGTTAATTAGGAGACTTAAATTCCTCCAGAAAAGGACGCTATTGTCCCTCAAAGAAATGATAACTAGTATTTGAAAACTGCAATTCATAAATGAGAAACTATTTTATTTCAAATGAAATGTTTATTAAAAATGTGAAATTATCAACAGCACACTGTTTGTTTTGTTTTTTATTACAAAGGGAAGTAAGGATTTTTTAAAAACAATTCTTACCGAAAACAGTAAGAAGAACTGTGGCAATGACTAGTGAGATACCTGACACTGTAAACCATAATATCATGGTTCGTTTCCGTCCAATCCTAAAATATTTTATGTTTATAAAATCATTTTAAATGTCAATATAAAGGTATTTATTGCAAATCATTTTACGAATGTATATTTCTCCAATTTGTTCAAGCGATCATAAAATATATATTTCTTCAATTTGTTCAAGCGGTCAGGAATAAAAAAGGCAATAAACATTTTTTACAACTTGTAAAACACGTTTACAGCCGTTTTTATTGGCTAAATTATTTAGAGGTAAATACTTTGTTGCTGCTCACCATCATGCGATAATGGCCCGAAGATGTCCATAATGGCCTGATGTTACTATTTATTATCCTTATATTTAACAAGACTAGAATGCCGTCATATCCTTTTGGAAGCAAATTATATGCCCATGAATGAAAATTATGTGACGAGATAAAATACTTGTCTAGAATTTATATACGTGTAAGATATCATAAGCATTAAACAGTAAAACATAAAACGAACTGCATTTAAAATTTAAATTATTTTATTTCATATACAAAATTATAAATAATACATGTATATGCGCCAACAAAAACTCGAAAACAATATTGTGAATATAATGAATGTTTTTAATGTCATTGCATGCGCCGACAAATAATTCAACCTTAGAAACTATTTATGTGGATACAAAAAAAACTGATCAGTCAATAGTTTATTTGAAAGATTAGTTCTTAAAAATTATATTGACTGGCTGATTGAAAGTACAACCACTAAACATGGACTGTGGTTGATTCCTGAAGTGAGACATGCTAAAAGTGCTGCCTGGACTCTGAGAAACGCCTACATTCACCCTTGGTGTTGCTTGAACTTCTTCATATATTTCAATACTTTGAAGTGTTTCTTTTTCAACTTCCTGGGTGCAGATTACTAGTTCACTGTCGGATATTTCATAAGTTTTGAAGTTTGTCTCACTTGTCCTATGTGTGTCAATCTTTTGTGGTGCATGTTTTATCTCGGACAGTTCCTGTTGGCGTTCAATGCTTAGTTAATGGTAATGGTTAAGTGAATGCAAATTTTTATGACCAGAAATTTGAGCAACCTCTGTTGATGTGATACCTTTATCTCAAAGATTTGAAATGAATGTCTTTCTTCCAGAATGGTTTATGTGTTTCCCATTGAAATCGGTACTTTATGTTAAAGCATTGGCAATAGTACCTAGGGAATCGTTTCACATAGGACATGAGTAAAACCAAGTGCCCTTTGATTGCCAGAACCCATTAACTTGCAGGGCGAAGCTACTCTCTGGGTCAACTGTCGGTCTGTTTTCGTTATAAAGAGAGTACATTTTCACGGGACAGTTAGATCATCTGAAAAGAAAAAACAATATTATTTCAGTTTATAATCATTTATTGACAACTAGTTTCTAAATTAATTATTTTATCAAATATATGTCAAGTTTATTATACTTGGTATAAGAAAACTTTTTCTTATCTAAAATTAAAACTTTTTTGAAAAGATATCTATGATAAGTTTCCCTTTATAAACATTTTAATTACTAGATAAGCTTTTTTCTTCCCATAGTTTAAACAGTCTTGACTCATCATTTAGACCTTTCCTGGTCTTGGTTGCACTCTCTGTAAATTCAAGATATTGCCGCCCATCTGTGTCATCCGTCTTTCGCAACTCAAGATCACCCCATAACATCGTAACATGTTCCTGTCTTCCTCGCAAACCTAGGTACATTGTGTTATTCAACCAGATAGTTGAAATAAGAGCTTTTGGGTTACCTGAAATTAGTCATAAAATTAAAGGAATGTCATTGATGTTTCTTCTACATGATCTTTTCAAATTTATTAGTCATGTATGTAAATAATAACAGAACATGGTAATTATACAATTCTTTTTATAGGATTTGATTATGATTTGTAACGTGTTTACAAATATATGTCAAACATGTACATGTAAACTTTTCATCCAGGAATTAACAACGCTTATAGTAAATAAACACATTTGAAGAGTTAAAATAAAACTTTGACAGTTTTATCTTACTCTTGTACAACTGATTTTCATGTTGAATATAGACTACTGTAGATTTCTATATGCCAATTAATGAAATTAGAAAATATGAATATCCGAAGAACTTACTTTCTCTTAACAGTTGCTTCTCGTAAAGAGTTTCAATCTCTGCATTCGTGAAAGGATCTGATCTGTATCTTTTGCTTCCCAGTCCTTTCTATTTTAGATCTTTCGTCTTTGCCTTTAGTGTGTTTCTTGTATGTTACTTTAAAAGGCGATGATGTCGCTGGACCCTCTGGATAGTTTAGATAGACGAAAGTATCCCTTGAATCGTAGATGGTTCTAATTCTTCGTCACTTTTAGTATTTCTTACAGTTAGAATAAATCTAGACAAATGCATATCTAGTTCTTTGGGATCTATATTTTCAATATCTCTTTCATTCCGTCTATTTTCAGCCATTCTCGAAACTTTTTCAGGTCACTTCTTGTTTTTCACCCGGTAGATGAATTCTTCTTAGAATTCACAAAGTTTATGGTGTCTTCAAAGGTTAGATGTCTCTTATTATGCTCAATAATATGATCTAAATCCAAGATTCGGTTAGCGATCAACTGTAGTGTTCTTGTAACTGACACCATTGTCAAAAGCGTTGTACACTGTTAACGTCATTTTGCACGTGCGCTCTTCACTCGCCAATTATGGGGGAAAAATGCCGAGTAGCAAGGCGGTCAAAATTGCATCATGACCTAGATCTTGCAATAGTGGCCTTAAAATACCCTAGATTTTGTTACTATATGCAGAAACATAGGTCTTAATATAGGATATGAGATAATATTATTTTCATTTACGCTAAATATTCAGATCATATATATTATCTACCTAGACAAAATTTACTGTAGAAACGTAATTAAATACAAAAGACATATTTTTTTAAAAGGCGATAGCACATACATGTTTAAAACAAATATAAAACAGGTATAATCATATTGCATTGATTGTCTATCCCTCAACCGCGAGATCTTTAGTTAGTGCCCATCTGGGGTCAAAGCTTTGTTTCCTCATATGACAACTGGCCCCACTAAGAAAAGATCGGGATCAAATGATCCTTATTTTATTTTCATTGTTTTATAAAACTATAATTGATCGCATTTTGCTATAATTAAATGGTACATAACAAAAAATGTAAACAATTGCTGATTTGCCATAAAACAACCAAGTGCCAATTTTAGGATCAATATCAATATTTAGATCAACCGTAACATGTCCATATTTAAAAAAAAAACTATAAATTATTCTAAAATTTTATAAACATGCTATTTTATGTCAAATTTTATCAAGTAAATTTTAATATATGGGGGATTAAAATCGGAAATATTTGACTTTTTAAATTTGATTCTTAGTGAACATGGGGTCAGTACCAGTCAGTTCCGGAATACGGATTTGAGACTACAAATTTAATTCAAATATGCTTCACGCTTCCATCACATACGAGCTAAAATAAACAAATAGCTCAACAAAGTGAAATAAAATAACCTTTACAACACATCCTATGTGTTGATAAAAAATACCTGTTGAGGAGGAAGAGGCCGATGACTTGTGAGGGAATTTCAATGACGCCACTCAGAAAGAAGTTAATAAATCGGTTACCGGCAAGATGGGAAGACACCAGTGTTAGACCGAAATAAGTCGCCGCCCCAACAATCCTGTTACAATTGAAAAACAAAATAATTTATGCTATTTTACACTTAATATTCACATATCTATTGAAATGCATCAAAGAAAGTCCACTTATTAGTATTTCCAAAAATTCAAGAAGAAAAGTTTGTTTTTGATCTTTTTTCGAATGCGATTGTGTAGACTGGCCCCGGATGCAGTAACATAATACCAGTTAAAGCGGCCTTCGGCTTTTATTTTTTTGTTGGAAAGATGATTGTTTATGTTTTTTAAACTAAGTATTTTAGTAACTTTATCTTGGCAAATTGCATCATAGCACTAATAAGCCTTCTTTTACACAGCGTCCCGAGAGCTATTTTTAACGCGACAGTGACATTCGCTTCTAAAATTAGAAGATCGGTAAAACGAATCTTCCGTTTAACATATTTACATATAGAGCGCGCACCGGTAGACTAGAAGTATAGAGGGGTTTCCTTATTGTTTATGTATTTTAACGACGGCAAATTTCGTTTACGACAAGTACAAATGTTTCTTCAATGCATCAATTGCGAAGCTCTGCGCAAATAATGCGCTCATTATAGATACTTTAGCAAATCATTCCTACGCACAGGTCATTATCTATTTAGATTAAGTACGATTGAACATTGTTCCGGATGTTTTGTAAATTATAATTATACTTATCGCATGTACTGTCCGTGCAAGAGGGAGCAGATATCAAATAAAAATATGCTTTCACTTATGCCTATCTGGTAAGGAAAGTAATTCCAACATAAACAAGACTTACAAGACTTGTACTATGACATGACAGTAGTGCAACATTGTTCTTTTTGTGTCAATTCTGTAGTCAGTAATATTAGATGATAATAAATTATCAAAGCATGTACATTTCCTTTTTCATCTATAATGCTTCTCATTTTCTACAAATATTAACAACTAAAATTCTACTTTATTTTACAAAATGTCTATTACATGTTTCGCGGCAAATAGTATATCATGATATAAGAAGGGAGGCAAATCGAATACACTCATTTCGAAGGGAGATTCCGCATTAGTTTTCCTTACAAAAGTTCACATATCTAGCTGTATTTGATCTGTCATCAGTATAATTATTTTTGCAGTTCATTCTGCCCGACTAGTTACTTTTTTTAAATATTTTTTTCTAAACTCAAAACTCAAACTACTTCTATAAATAGATTTTCGGATTTTGACAATGTTAAAGTCATCTATTTACAGCTTTTGGATATATGTAACCAGTCTGATTCCACAGCAATAAAAATCATACATAAACCACTGCGTACTACAAAATAATTACTATTTACCTGCAGGAGATACAAATGTAAGAAATAAAATACCAAATTTAATTTTATTTTGTGTTTGCCTTCCCAGCGGTTGAGGCGTGAAATTTGTTCCCGTTCTCACTCATTAATATGACATGCTGCGAATCACAGAAGGGGAAACCAGTATATGACTAAGGAAGTTTGTGTAGCATTAATTGATCAAAATCGGGTCCATGGACAAAAACAATGTAAACACGTATAGCTCTGCGGGCGCGGAGCAATTATATGAAACGATTTATCTAAAAAAACAACAACACATATTTAACCTTTAAAATATCTGAAGGCCGCTTAAATTAATAATATGAACGGTATTCAACCAGCTACAATTAAACAAAACAAATTTGTAAAATGAATCCAGTTACTTAAAAGATACAAAAGTGCACTGAATGAGCGTTTACTCAAAATGAAGAAATTGGATTTAATAGGTTTTGTTCAAAGGTCCATTAAATTATGCCTTAGAAATGCTTTATTTCTCAAATGCTTTTAATCAACATTTCCAAAAAGTTTCGATTTGCCAATTATCTAAACCATCTTTTTGTCCGGTTGCTTTTTAGCAATTGTTACAAGTAAAGTCATAGAAAACGCTTCTTTGTTTACATTTTCCTACTTTATGACAAATAATTTTAAATTCAGCATTACATAACAAACACCTGTCCTTATTTAAACGTTATCAATCTCATGTTTACCTATTTTTAAATAATAAAAAATCGTTTCTGATGTATATATTACCTTTAAACATAAATTTCAAATCAGTTATATTTTTTAGAATTATCATTATACTTGATTGCTAATAACATACCATGTATACCACAGAATAAACGAGTTAATCCTGAGAGACGAGGTTTTCAATATGTCAGTCAAGTTATATTTTTTAATAGCCTGTGTCTTCATTTGCTTTTCCACCATGTTATCTGTCATCAAGCTTTCTGTTGCTATCTTCATCTCTGTATTATCAAGATCTTCATCAACGCTTTCATTCTCCGTATCTGTTAATTGAAAATCTCTATGCAGAATATCTTCTACTTGTTTGTAATCAACTTGGTTCCATCTTGCTGCTTTCTTTAAAATTTTCTTGGCATCATTCAATTTTCCATTTGATAAAAGCCATCGTAAAGATTCGTCCATAAACCTAACAAGATGATAACGAAAATCAGTCAATCAATCAATTAATCAATACATCAATCAATCAAACATACTTTCAAACAAACAAAATAATATGAAAATTATATAAATTTATATTAAAGAATATATAAATTCCATTCAACATTTTATGTATAGATTTTTTTCTGAAGATATGTCTGCTATGTAAACATATATATTTAATTATGTTTAAAATAGTTTATCCTCATCACAATTATATCCATTTTTGTTAATTTGAAATAACATTCTAGAATAATAACTAAAGTAACGAGACATTGTCTTTAAAGTTTGTTTTAATGAATAGGAAATTAGTATTGAAAATGTATTATCACACTATGTTTGATTATGATTATGAACTACGTACAAGTCGAAATAAAATAATGTTCGGTTCTGTATGTTCACTGATGAAAACAGATATGTTTCTTAATTATAAAATACATGTACATTTCATTGTGATTATTGTTATATCAAATAATACCCTGAATTTATACGCAATTTCAATGTCATTTTTACATTTTTTACGAATTTTACATCATATATTATCGATTCAGCTTCATGAATTCATGAATTCGACATTTTGAATTCATCAAAGTTTAATTTGCGTAAATGAAACCGTGAACTCGTGAAATTTAATCGTGAATTTGTGAAGCTAATTTAATTTATGTGTATTAAAGAAGTAAAATGTCATCGCCGTTCGTTCCATATGGCTGGACATATATATATATATACGTATAATCGGAATAAACTTTTTTATTTGATGCATTTCTCTTTAACGTGTTGTAAATATACATACCACCACTCGACTAAGGCATGCAGTGAAAAAACCGCCAAGGCTAATTGAAGATATCGCCAATTAATGTCCCTGAAGAGGTATCCGAACAGGGAGAGGACCATTAATCCAACGCTCCATGCTGCAACGCATGCCGTGCACGTGAATGCACGTGCTTCTTTTGGAAAGATCTCGAGGACAATTGTATGACTCGTGCACACAATTCCCTGTAACATAATTGAAAAGTTTTTTGAAATGGTATTTAGAAAATAATTTTTCTGTTTTTTGTTGTTTGTATGTTTTTTGTTTTGTTTAAAAAATGTAAGAAAAATATTCAAAGATCTATATATTGATATATAATATCATATTATATGTTAAGTTATGTTATCAAATAAATGTATCTCTAATTTTAAATCATTATTCTAAACCTAAGTACACATACATGAACGAAATATAAAGCATCCAAATGTCATTATTAACAAATATGTCAAACAGAAAAAGTAAAGTTTTACAGGGCTGCTTTCGGTGAATGTCGCTTCTCGTTCTTGATCACTGCTCACTGGTTGTGGAAGTGGGTATGTATATAAATCTATCGACCATTTACATTTGATAGCTTCCTCACCAGAGTATTTGGCGTGTTTCGATCACACACACACACGTAAAGGCAAACAAGTTAAAGTCAGCTAGAACAACCACTCTCTAATCAAGCTAAGGGTACCCCTCGCAATAAACAACCTTCCCATACCGCCTGATCAGTACAGTAGCAAAATTCTGCTTTGACAAAGTCATAATATTCTTGCACTTGCTATTTTAAAGTTCAACACATATATAACACAGTCTTTTAATTACTATGCTTTCATGTCCAAAAATGTTAAATTAATGTAAAAGAAATATTTTGTAAAATAACGAAATTATTATGTACTCTAAAGCCAGATGATACATCTATCGTCACGTGGGTTTTAGCTGTGTGAGGAAATAGTATATCAAAATAAAAAGAAACTTTGTATTTCTGAATGTATTATACACTAGAAATGCTAGCCCGGTGTCTACGTTGAATAACCCTATGGTTAAGTTTACGTTTATTGTCATTAATTTATTTTAACTTTAAAACATCTGAATCTAGATACATTTCGCTTGGAGCTATCAGTCAAAGCGATTTTAACGTTCATTCTCATCAATCATTTTAAAGTGGCTCATTAACATTTAACCACATAAGATAATCCTAATATTATGCTTGAAAAGTCATTGCTTTTTTAAAACCTTTTTTTAAGGTTAGTTACTCAAAAAAATCAATGAAAACGAGTTCATTTGATAATTATTGAAATGCATATCTTAAAGGAACTCCATTGAGGTTTATAGGCATAAAAACATTAAATTTAAATTTTTCACATAGATAAACATGAGCACTTACAAATAAAATATAACCAAGAAATATACAAGACATACATTGGAAACCATATGTCTGTGCTATGCTAAGTCCGATTTGAGTGAAAAGTGTTTAAACGCTTTTCAATTTTTGATCATTTTTCACCATTATAATAATTATTCTGGAAAAACGGAGCGAGCTGATGATCTGATATTTTGCACAGTTATTAGTATAGGTCTACATCAAATGGAATAATAATCTCAAAAAGATATTTCCAGTCCCGTCATGTCAAAAAACCTTAGTGGAGTCCCTTTAAGGACAGATTAGGGCATTTTTGCAAAATATTTTTGCATTTCCGTAATTTCTAAAAAAAAAAAGATACTCATCAAAGATATTTACTTCAAACTTGATGTGCCTGATTTTTATCAAGGGCGAATAATTCTGCCTTGTGCAGTTTTTCAAAATTACGCTTTTTTCAGGCTATCAAGAACTGAGAAAAGATAGTGGAGCACGCTCCTCGGATAGCTCTTGTTAAACTTACTTGTTGAAATGACCCAGTCACCAGTTGTAAGACAAGCAACATGTATATATATTTTAGAGAAAGCCATGGTGATCATACAACACAACACAGCAACATGTGATAGCACGTGAATTGTCCTCCGACCAAATCGATCAGATAAATGAGACATAATCAGAGCACCAATACCTTGTCCTGCCAGCACAAGGGACTGGGCAAGGGCGGCTAAGTTAGCTCGTGAACAAACCAGGTTCCACTGAAAGAATACAGTGCGTTGAATTTGTCATATTTCGAGAAAGCAGGGTCTAATTTAATTACAATTGCCTTTATACGCATTACTAAAATGTAAATCTAAGGTTTAAGATTCAGTCACTTTTAATTTGCTACAGTAGATGGCAATGACATCCACAATAATTGCTTTGTATGAAGAGTATTTGAATTTTAGTATTTTAGAAGATTAAGTTCTACTTTAAAGAAACCTCGTATTGTTTCTAGATCTATAAAAACCAAACGATAAGAAATCAGAAAGAAATCTGAGAAACCGATTTTTATTAGTATACATTTAAAAATTTGAAAAACAACGACTAAACAAATAATAGAAATTAACAAAATTACAAAAAAATCAAACTAAGATTGATCTTACCTCATATGAGTAAGAGTTTTCATTGGCAAATGAAAATTTATGACATGCTTTAGATTCCGTTTCATTGGTTTCAAGACTGATGACGTCAAAGTGGCATTTTTTAGCGTTGAGAATGAGGCTGTTACTCAATGACGTATCATTGTTTACTTCTGATGGGGCATCGCAAGAATATTCTGGGATAAAACCTTTGAAAAAAATAAGGAAACGAAAAGATATTTAGTTTAATCAATTTTTCAGCACGGGGGATGAACTGTTACACGAAGGATGGAGTTCTAATGAATACTTGTCATGTGTTTTTGTGATAACTGTCTCGGAGTTCGTCGGAAAACCTTTGTATATACTAGAAAAACACTCGTCAAAATGGTAATTTTCATCTTTAAAAAAATGACTAAGTGACTTTAGGTGATAAATTTAACTTTAATGATAGGTTTAATTTTGTTAGCCGGTGCTTATGTTTGTAATTTTGCATAGGTATATGTAAGGCATATAATAGGTATATGTAAGGCAAGGATGAAGACCAGAAATAAACATGTCAATACGTGGGAATTGGCAAATTATTTGGGAATTTTACTCAAAACTACCAGATTTTAAGCAAGAGTTGATTAAAGATGGTCTATTTAATAGTTTTGACACATAATACAAGATGTTAGGCAAGCTTAATCATTAAAGTTTAATTTAGCACCTAAAAGTCATTTTTTAATGATGAAAATTACAGTTTTTGACGAGTGTTTTTGTAGTATATACAAAAGTATTCCGACAAACTCCGTGACAGTCATTACAAGAACTCCTGACAACTTATAAGAACTCCATCCTTCGTGTAACAGTCGTGAACACTTCTCCCGTGTTCAGGGACTTTTATGTTTTGCTCATTTTTTTCAGTGAAACAGAAATATTTTTAAATTCTAAAACATTTTGTTTAAGATTCACATAATTTAGATTCTCTATGCCTTTATCTTCGAATACAGACACTCAATACAATTAGTCATACAAGTACTCGTCACCTAATAAAAATATCAGCAAGTAATAAAATGATTGATTCAAAATGCCAACTTACCTGTGAATACGACACCAAGTATTGCAAATGAAGCAGGAATAAAATCCAAAAGTATAAGAAACAACTGGAATAACTGATATTTGCCCCAAGTCCTCAGCGTGCGCCAAACGACGTCTAATTCTGTTATACCTTTCTTCTTACCCATTGCCTTGTTGTTGCTACAATTCTGTTATAAAAATCTTAATTATCATCTCTCCGAGCATTAAAAGATTTGACTTTAATATATTTTCAGCGCATCACAAGAAAACTTGACCCATGTAATATAACGTATTTCATCTATTTATATGAGTTAAATGTTTATTAAACGCGCTCATGCTTTCCTTTGATAAAGTAACTCAGCCAAGCGTCATATCAACGACATATCCATACTTGTAATTGCGTTTTAGGACAGTATCATTACTGTAAAGATATCATTTTTACTATTTTTTATTGCCTGACATTTTGATAATGCGTTTATGCCTTTTCCATCACTCATAAACTGATATGCTTCAAATATTTATACAAAAGATCAACTGATTATAGATATTAGTTTTATAAATTCTACAAAAAAATAACAGAACCTTGTTTTTATATGTATATGATATTTTCTTATTTCAGCTTATGTATATATGTTTATAAATATAAATAAACTGTGTCGCAAGTATTTATTACAAGATCATTTGATACATATATTACAGATATAGGAAAGCAGTCAGAGGAAATGCGGAGTAAGAAGGAGCGAATTTCATAATGTTTAATAAAAGTATAACGGAAATCTTAAATGCTTGTTCCCTAAAAATGTGGCATTGAATGTGAAAATATTTGTCTTAAAAGTAACAAAATGTAAACAAAGAAGGGTTTGTACTTTCATTCGAAATACTAAATCACTATAGATTTCCTAGTTGCCAAAATGCAACAGAAGCAAAGATAGTTCAGATTATTGAATAATGACTAACATTTTGGAAACAAAAAAACTAAACAGGAAATAAAAAGCGTTTGACAAATTAAAGCATTTCTGAGGCATAATGGGTCTTTAGATATTTTGTAGGTATTTCCTAACATTCACGGGGTGAATCAAAATATTGTATCTATATTTGACGTATGTTATACGTTTGTTCAAAGCAAAAAACTGATAGACATTCTGGAAAGGGGCATAGCTCATGAACACACAAATACATATATACTGAAAAAAAGAAAGAAAGAAAAAAAATATTTAAAAATGAAAAGATAAATAAATAAATGAATATAAAACAAATATTACAAATTATAATAATCAAATGATAATAAATAGATAAATGAAAATAAACTAATAAATAAATAAATGAAAATAAATAAATAAATTAATAAAATATCCCACCCCTCATTAGTAAATAAAAAAGTAAATAAATAAATAAATGAAAACAAAAACACACACAATTTTATTAAGTCATTTCATGAGAAATAATGAGAAAATGTGTAACAAATCTCCCAAGCACAAATTGTAGCACATATGCATACGGTGTTACAAATGTGAGATATGTGTGTTTTTATTTATCTGTTTCTAAGTCGTACGCGTGGCCACGAGATAGTTAAGTCGTGGGAACGAAAATCTATGTCGTGATCAAGAGTTACTAAGTCGTGGGTACGAGATAGTTAAGTCGTGGGAGGAACAAGATACATTTACTATGTCTTGGCCACGAGATACTATGTCGTGGCCTCGAGTTACAAAGTCGTGGCCACGAGATAATTAAGTCGTGGAACAAGATAATACTATGTCGTGGCCAGGAGTTACTAAATCGTGGCCATAAGCTAATTAAGTGGTGCGCACGAGAAACTTTGTCGTGCCCACGAGTAACTAAGTCGTGGCCACGAGTCAGTAAGTCGTGGGAACGAGATAACTGTGTCGTGCGCACGAGATAATTAACCAATCAGATTACACTATGAATTTTTTCAATTAAGAAAAATTTCTGTTTAAAGATTCACATGCAACATTAATCTTTGAAAATACTGTAGTGTTCACTTTAGACTTGATAGGATCATATAAGAAAGTCACCTTCTTAGGCTCATAAATCAGAATTAATTTTGACTAAGTTATATCCCTTTGTTTGGATAATTTTATCATAGAATTATTCAGTTTGTACATACAATGGCCTGTAAATCTCGTTTATACGATAACTTGAGAAGAAATTAGTCCTGGTTAATTTTATTTGGTAGGGAAAACGCCAATGGACAGAAGATAGCATATAGGTATGTTTGAGGTCAACGGTCATTGTAAATATGACACTTCATGTAAAATACTTATATGATAAATGATAAAGATAGGCCATGGTGTATATAATTTAGGAAGATCATTGCATCTGATTAGTAGATGCCACCTAATAATTTTGAGGCGATTTCGCCAAAGATTGGGTCACAATGACACTAAATGTAAATTCATTGACCAATCAATTACTTGTATAAATTGCACTTTTACAAGCAGGTGAATTAGGGTCATCCTTGTACTATAGCACATAGATCTATACAATAAATATTTTTAATTATACAATATATATTTTCAAATATAGAACATACATATTGAAAATTATCGCACACAAATATGTTTTATGATGGACAAATATTCAGCAGGATTAAATAAATATGGTATAGAATATAAAATTAGAGTAATTAGAGTAATACTATATATTGGATATAGAACAAAAAATCTTTTTTTGAATATTGCAACGTTTAAGATGCCATAATGGTATATTTCCTACAATGGTCCTTTTTCTGTAATACTGGAACTATCAAGATAGTACTCAAACACTTATTCACCTGGATTGTTAAGATATATATCCCCCATAATCTTCTATTTTTTATCTACGAAAGTGAACTAATTATTTACGAAAGACCGGCTGGGACAATTCAATTTCCAGTGTATAAAGCTATATATTTGATGAAAAAAATACTTTTAAAATTTAAAAATATATACTTCCAGAATGCTTGTATGAAATAAATATGGTAATTTATTGCATTAAACGCGAATTGCGCATGGACAAACTCATTGCTAAACGGATCAAACCCTCTTTGAAATAGCAAAATATTTTTTTCCCGAAACATTTTATTCTGTTTACGTACATATTTATGTATATTAAATAACAGAGACATTTTATGTTACAACTTTTTCAAGAATCAACCAATAATAATGGAACCAACTTTATTTTGCTGTTGATAAAGTTCATTAAAATATTTCATAAGATATAAATTTATACTTTTAATTAATTCCCAATTTAATCTTCTTGAATTCACGATTTTAACTCCACGAATTCACGATTTCAACTTCACAAGTTTACGTTTTCAACTTCGAAATTGAAATCTGAAATTCGTGAAACTGTAATTATAGTGTATTCGTTAAGTTGAAGTGAATTCGAGACGTTGAAATCGTGAAAATGAACCCGAGAATTCAAGAAGTTGAAATGTCACTACTGGTCTTTCACAAATATATGTTTAATATTCTGCAGCCGTTTATATATGTGTTTCTAGCAGAAAATTAAAAAAAATCAAAAAGACTGTCGTATACGTACATGTATACAGTATAACACTGACTAGATTGCAAGAAGCCGTTCGGTTAACTCAACAGATAGAACGTTGGACTGAATCGAGCAATCCGGGGTTGCATGTCACTTTCGTTGTGACAGAGCATGAAATCCTTTTTACGGGCATTTGCAATGTACCTCTTCTCTGGCATGTACAGAAGTCATCAGTTCCTTGCAATAGTAAAGGCACCTAGTACTGGTCAACTGCCTGAAAGCACGCCCAGGAAAAATGATGTGGCTGAACTGTGCTCTGGTAAATTCAATGTGGCTAACTGCAGTGATTCGGAGTGAAAACTTCCAACGCCACCACAATAATAATTATTGGTTTTAACAAAATATCAGAAAAAAATTATTACGATATATATTGTAAATGTTTTACAATATTTTACTATCTACTTGTACACAAATGACAGAGGCGAATAAAAACACAAGTTATTTTTCTATTTTAAATTTACTTTATTCAGAAAAATACACAAAGATGAAATTTACAAAATAATGTCTAAATGATTCATCACTGTCATAAAATTATCTTAACGACAGCTGATATCTTAAAAAAGATAAAAACTAAAACATATCTTGACACTAACACTAAACGAGCTTTTATGAACTTCTAGGATGTTCCATATGAAACATGAGATTGACCAAAATCGACTCTTCAATGCTTAGACTAGTGTTTGTGAACGGTGCCGTGACCAGGAAATAATCAAGATCAATTCTAATTTTCAGATACAGATACGTAAAATAATCCCATGTCTTTCATTTCATTCTAATGCACTTAGAGATGAAATAAGAAAATTTATTTCAAATCTTGTTATTCTTCGGTATATCTTTCTCCCAGGTATCACACTCAGCAATTGTTGTGGGTAATTCATGCGTGGCACTTTCCGGAAGCCGCAATGCCAAGAGTACAACCAGGAGACACATTCCACCAAATATTGCACCAGGAATCCACATCGCAATCAGCGCCTATAAGAAGATATTGTACTAAGACATTTTAAATGTTGTTTATTTGTTTATTTACGTGAGAAAGATGACTATAATGAATAAAACACCAATGCATTAAAGACACATGTAACATTAATGAGCACACTTACCATGCGATATTTAACAAATCTTTAATTATAAATTCGTTTTTATTCTGATGTCACAAAAATGCTTTATAAACAAAGCGTTAATTTCTATTTTACTCTGTAATCTTAGCCGTAAATGCACAATTACAAGAAAATCAAACTTAAGCATGTAAAATGAGTATAGATAGCATTTTTTATTCGTACAATCAGTCAAAAAGTGTTACGATGATTATTAAAACGTTGCAACTTTATATGCTTGCCAAGTATTACTTTAGTTATGTTGGTATTTATAAATCATGACAGAATGGAAGTAAGTAATCAGCTGTCTATGATTAGGTTTAATCGTTGTCATCGATTTAACAAATATATGTGCATATCTAACAATATAATACTACATAGTAAAACGAAATACCACTGCTTCACAAAATATTTTTAAATAACAATACTTCTTAACTGAGTTTAGTCATATCGACATTGATTAGGTCATATTGCTGCTTTTCAGCTTCACTGGTTGAGGAAGAACTAAAATGTTCCTCCGTGCAATATTTCAAAACTGCCCAGTAAAGCATTGTTACGATCAATGAACTCTTGAAATAAAATCCTTACAATCGCGTGTACTCGTACTCACCAAGTTGCTTATAAATGGTGCCAATATTCCACCTATTCTTGAAATTGATGAAGAAATTCCAAGCCCACTATTTCTGAAATTAAGAAAACAACAACTTTTTTGAATAAATAGATAATGCGTATTTTAAAAATGAAATAATTGTCACTGTTGAAAAACTTGTTTGTAAACACTGAAAATGTGGAAAGATCTGAAGAACAACGCTTTCAAATAAAAAAAAAGAAATGAATGACACATGGAAAAACAGAACGAATAAGCTTTTACAATTTTCTAGTGTGTACGAAATGTGTTCAAAAAACAACACAAGCTCTTTCTATAGTTTTAATATCGCACATTTTAAACTATTGACCGACATGCGTACAACGCGTGTTTAATTTTGTATGTCAGTCTCTATTTATATCTTCTATCCCAATAAAAACAACTTTGACCATCAAGATTAAAAAACGACCGAACTTTCTTTTTTGTTAGTTACATTTTGAATGAGTCTGATCGCATTTAATGTTTCATATGCTCCTTTCCATCGAAGGTAATTGGGAATATTGTTTCTATGGTATTTACCTATAGTTTGTAGGATATATTTCTGGGGTGTACAGAAAGACAATGCTAAAAGATCCCGTAATAGCCGACTTTCCAATCAACGAGAAGGCAGTAGCAACTATAGCGGCTACATTGTTATCTAAAACAAAAACAACAGTTGAATATCAAAATGTGCTCATATCGTTATCTTATACCGTTTACACATTACCAACACATTCAAATGGTAAATTGCTGAAATACACTTGCCAATATAAATCGTATTATTACATGCATACAAAAGATTCAAGCAATACGCATCTGAAATATACTTTTGTTTGTTAAATTTTTAGTAAAAACATAGATAGTCAAACAATCACATATTGTCTGAAATAAACAGTAACTTTTTTTTAAACATATTCATTAATTGCAGTATAGATAACGTAACTGTTTGTCTGAAAATCATAACAATGAATGAATAATTAATCGATGTTCTGCAATATTCAAATCAATATAATATGAAAAATTGTTTCTTCTTATTGACATAAATACAATCAATACATAAAAATCAAGACACGTAATCAATATTTAAGCTTGGCAGTCTACATACTGATGTATTTTAGGCTAATATCGGGTGTATATTCAATTTTATATACAACAAATAACAAACAAAAATATCACGTGATAGGTGTCTGGAATAGATATTTCAATATGATTCAGTTTTGCATATATTTGCATCTGTTAGAAGGCTGCTTAACCATATTGTCTGAAATAAAGATGTCAATGTTACATGCAGAAATTTGACCAATGGCAAACTGAATATTCAGTTCATAAGTGACGCTATATGGAGAATAGGAACAGCTTTGTGATCCAACATTCATAACTCTGTACGGGTAAACACGGAAAAACACATACTGTGCAAACAATATCATTTTGCACCCTTATTGTCATGACATCTTGGAAAATCCAAACAAATACTTTGCCATATCATCAAACATTTTCAAACATTCATGGTTTTATTTATAAAATCATACATACGCACCATCTCTATACTTACATATACACAATAAGGTCCAATTAATAGCCTGCTTACAAGCGTAAATGTTATTGCTTGTCGTTTGTTTCCTTGGAATCTATGTCGCCTCTTTTATCTTACATATGCGTATGTAATGACTTTAAAGAACTAACTGGAAACATTAATAAATTTAAAAATATTGATCTTGTCCAATGCTCTTCGAATACACTTTTTAGCGCTGTTCATATTTTTAACATAAATACATCATCAAAACTGTTAACTGTTATATAACTAAGCATTTTAAAAAGAATAGGAAAATACATCCTTGAGACCATTTGGGGAAAAAAGGCTTCCAACACAGAGCATAATAAAATTTCATAGGTAATACTAGACATTTGATATGATCCCCTTACTCTTATCTTAAATAAAACAGAAAAAAGAAGCAATGAAACAACAGAAAAAAATGAAAATTGCAGATTAATTGAGTCTTTTAATGACAAATAATAAAGGTACAATATCTATCATGCATGGTCTTTTGAAACACTAAAACCTTTTGTAACAATAATCTCGAAAGACTTACATTCAACATTAGATGTGGGGAGATAAAAATAAATCTAGAAAGTGTGTTTTCTTGAAATAGCAATAAAACGGACAGCAAAAAATGAAAATTGCAGACTTGGTTTGGTTGAGTTTGTTCATGTGAGATCAAACGCAAAATAAATACTTGTATACCCCCAAAAAGTTAGAATGTGGCTTCTATTCTTACCGAAAACAGTTAGAAGAACTGTAGCTATTATTAACGAAATCCCTGATACAGCATACCACAGGATCATTGTCCATTTACGTCCAATTCTGTAATTAAAAATCATATTAAAAATAGATATGAGTGTTTTTCGATGAATCAATCAATGTGTATAGAAAATGTAAATTATAAATGAAGAACCAATTTAATCCAATTCACGATATCATTACAAAGAGTTAATAATGAAAATTGAAGATTCAAGTAAATTTGGTCTTTTCTATAGTTTTACTGATAATTGCTACGGAGCTCATATCCGTAGCACTGGCTTCTAAACGTTTTTAAACAGTTGCTAGCAAAGAACTTGAAAAAACAAAATGCAATTAATATGAAAAATGCGACCTTTAAGACAGCTGGCAACATCTTAATCATGCTGTAAACGTTCAATTTTAAAGCAAATGTGTTCACTTGAAATTAATTAATGCATATCAAAAAGTAAACTATGCAAACTCTGTTTGTTTCAAATGCCTACATACACTGATTAAATGTTTCAGTCGTGATACCTAAACACACTCTCACAAATTCAGCAAGTCCAAAAGAAATATTTAGTAATAAACTTACTAGCATCTATATCTACCTCTCATATGTAAAGGAGATATCTTATAAAAAAAACCTTGCATTTTGTTCTATGTGAAAATATGATCTTGAAAAGTTGTACAAGTGATGTATTCCAATGAAAAGAAATGGGTCAGCATGACGCGTGAACAAGACAAGCAGCTGTATATGTACTGGACAGCCACTGATGTTTACCAAAGGAACGAGTTTAGCTTGACTAGGATAATCACCCCAAATTGTTTCAATATAAACTTCCTCTAGCAGCCCCTCTTTAAAAAGCTTGTGTAGCTTAATCACATATGGCATGAATAAAAATAAACAAGTACATGTACCTATTAAGAAGAAAGAAGCTAATCACTTGCGAGGGGATTTCAATAACGCCACTGAGGAAGAAATTAATGAACCGGTCACCAGCAAGATGGGATGAAACTAGAGTAAGGCCGTAATACGTCCCAGTCGCCACAATCCTGAAATATACAAAAAAAGCCAAGCATAAGTTGTAAACTTGAAAGTAACATTATTTACATTTTCTTTTGCAACTTTAAAATACATATGTATGAATATATTAAAATAGATAATAATTAATTTGACAATTAATCAATTATCAATTTTTATTCTTGTTATTAAATACATAAAATTAGCAATGTCAATCACGTTTAATCAACAGGGAAGTAAGCCGCATGTATGAAGACCGCCATATTGATATTATTGAAATAATGACGTGACAGAGGAAAATGATCTTTTATGTGACAAAGATATACTATAACTTGATATTAAAACATTACAACATTTTCTAAATGCTGTCCGATATCAACCGTGTAATGAAGTATCGTAACCCTTGTCCGATACTAACCAAGTATACCACAAGATGAAGGTGTTCACCCTGAGCGAAGGATTCTTAAGAATGTCAATAACATTATATTTTTTCACAGCTTGAATCTTCATGTCATTTTCCCTCTTTTCCTCCGCCAGTAACCCGTTTGTAAACGTCTTCATTTCCTTGTCGTGAAGGTTTTCGTCCGAACTTTCACTTCCACTATCCGTTAGATGAACACTTTCGTTTAGAACAGCTTCCACCTGCTTGTAATCAATCTTGTTCCATCGTGCTGCCTTCTTTAAGATCTTCTTTGCTTCGTCCAATCGCCCGTTTGATAAAAGCCAGCGGACTGATTCATCCATCATCCTTCACATAAAGTAAGATTTTTATTGTAAGTAATAAGGACTCTAAAATATGAAAAACAAAATCAACATGGAAGGGCGGCGTTCAATGAACGCAATTCCCACACGACCTCACAACACATAACTACCGGCAAGGAGACCAACAGGACACCAAATAAAAACAGGACAAGACACCAGGTAAAGCACGGACGGATGATACAAAATAGGAAATACAGTAGAAACCGACTGGGAAATTAAAGTTTCTTCTAATGTTGATATTGCTAAAAGAAACAATTGTATGTAAAGCCAAAGCAGTTAGTTGGGGGAAATATACACAACGGAATATACAATGACAAATAACCTGGCGTCATTATGAAAAGGTTCGCAGCCCCGATAAATAAATTAACACCATAATTCTCATCACAGAAGATCCCTCGACAGCAGTTAAAACAAAAAAGGATAATAAATTGATTATAAGAGATGGGATTAATAATTTTCCCTAAGTAGTTATATACTGATAAAAACAAAAGAAAAAATGTATCGTCTGAATATTGAATATTCTTATAAAATAATTTAAAAAAAGTTTTCAGTGATCTAAAATAAACATGCATATGATGAATAAACATATTTTGCTCCAGAACAATTTATTTTCTGATATATGTAAATATTTCATATACTAGGATCATGCATCACATACTAACCAACAACATTCATGTATAATTCTTTCTTGACTTCTTTCACTGTTTCACGTTTTTTAAACTACATATTATTATGTATGATACTGCTGACCTTTCACAGTAGACCAATTTACCTTAAACAGTATTAATTCTCAACAAATAAATGTATTCAAATCAAAGATTCCGAACGACCATAAAATCCACATCAACATTGAGGTGAAGTACGTTGCAACTTTTAACCTCCGTCACCAAATGCAACAACCCTCCATTAAGACGGCTGTCTTCAGCAGTTTTTAATATTCAAGCAATCAAATCACACCTATACCAGAATAATGCATCCCTTAACAAATATTTGCTAACAAGATTTGAAAGTATAATTTAAAGTTGCGTTAAAAGAGTAGATATTGATAGCTTACCACCATTCGGCTAGTGCATATAGGGAGAAGGCGGCGATGGCTATCTGAAGGTAACGCCAGTTGATGTCCTGGAAAATGTATCCGTACAAGGAAAGAAACATCAAACCCATACCCCACGTGATGAAACCAGCAGGTGCGGTATGAGCACGTGCCTCCTTTGGAAATATCTCAAGAGCAAGGGTTTTAGCTGTGCACACTATACCCTGAAAATTTATCATTCAAATACATGTAATTACATTCACATCTTTGTACCAATGACGTTGGAAGTAAAAGGGGTTAAAACTGAAATTTCAGAACAATGGCATGATCTGAGTAAGACCATGTATGAAAAAGCTTAACAAAATCGAGCCCGAGTCATTTTCAATATTTTCCGTTTTGGACGTTCTTTAGGAATTCCGTTTTTTCTTAATTTTATAATAAGATAAACAGAAAAAAAAACTGTTAAAATCTTGGATATTATCTAAACATTTACAATAAAGACATCGATCAAATGACAGCTCCTGTAGCTCATACGATATCGAGACATATGCATTATTATTTGTAAAAAATTAAAACAACTTTCAACAGAAACTTTTATACTATTTTAAAAAAGTACACACAAACTTCTATTCAAATACAATGTAATATTATGTTTGACCTAAGAATAGAGGAAAGTTTCTTATAGTGCTGCACTAAATCGCAATATATGAGAACAAATATCATTAAGATAGAATATAACTAAATATATTACAGACCGGGGCCCGGGCTCAAAACACACGCGACCAACGGAAAGGCATCCAATAGGACGGCGAACAAAAGGCAAAAGCTTGCATGGTAACAGCATATGGTATTATTATCCTTAGGTGCTTTTTTTTCTAAAGTGAACCTTATTAGAACAACGCTTTTAATCTAATGATTGTAAATTATTTTTTATTTGTATATCTTCAGAGGAGATTACCTGTTGGAACGTTCCTGTAATCAAGCGCATGGCAAGCAACATGTATATGTTTTTAGAGAAGGCCATGATGATCATACAACATAACACAGCAACATGTGATAGCACGTGAATTGTCCTCCGTCCAAATCGATCAGATAAATGAGACATGATCAGAGCACCAATACCTTGTCCTGCTAGCACGAGAGACTGGGCAAGGGCGGCTAAGTTAGCTCGTGAACAAACCAGATTCCACTGAAAAAATATAATAAACATTATAATTACATTTTCATGCTCTTTCGTTATATTTCTATGTAAATTTCTTTGTCCTTTGTACCACATTGCAACTATTTCAAAAGAAACTGGAGTCGCCGAGGTTGACTTATGACTACTGGCTCACTACTGTTGGTCGAATCCCGTCTAGGAGGCTATCCAAATAGCTTACGGAAAATCAGTGTTTCTACTTAGATGCCCGTTCGCAACCGTAATAAAGCACAGATGGCTTCCTCCACAAGTAAAGCTGCTGGAAAGTCACCATGAGACAATTACAGTGTTGCTGCGACGCAGAGCAAAACCAACCAAAACGAACGCCATCAACTGCATGTTTCTTTTGAGTAGTATTAAATAATTTCCTATAGGTTTTGGGGATAACAAAAATTGTCATGAAACATTCGTATATGAACAGTGGTCCCGAAACTATCATATTTTAAAGTTTTGCTTGATTTTAATAAAAGATCCGATACCGTGATCATAAAATTATTTCTTTCAGCCATATTTAAAAACAAATTACTTTAGGCTAATATAAATTGAATACCCAAACCCAACCAATGTCACAGCAATTTATGGCTCCTTACCGCTAATGCATTATCTATGAAAAGTCTTTTATATTACAAACACAAAACAGTGTCATTACAACATATCAAATATCCAATTTGTCAAAGACATTATCAAATTTTATCAGCAAGATCTTTAAGAATATGAAATATTGAAAACATACTTATAGTGTAGAGGGGGAAAAGTGTAAACAGAATACAAAGAATCTTTATAAATGCTTTGTTTTATTTTTTTATATGCAAGATTTAAGATTGTCATGTTATACACCATGAATAAATATAGACAAACATCAAACAGGAAAAAAACTAAGGAAAAAACTTTTTTGCAATACGGTTTGATTTTTATGGATAGACTTATATCGCATTTGTAACAAGTACCATGAAATGCACACTGACCTTTCGATAACTTGTGCTCATACTTTGAACACGGTCGCTATATAAGGAAAGTTAAATATTAAGATGAACATTTGCCTTCCAATAAATGCCAATATTGTTAAAGACTTCCCTATGCTATAAAGCAAAGACAGTTTGACCAAATTACGAACAGTTGAGTTGACTGTTCTATTTTTGTATTTTGTTAAGAGAATCTTTAGCATCGACATTGATTTAATAGATTTTTTAAAGAAAAGAAATGCTAAATAATTATTACGTTCTTAAAACGGTATGGACAGGATAGGTTCTCTCAGATAGAGAAAAGAACGAAAAACACAACAAAATTTAAAGTTAGTTTTTCGCCGCAAATAAACGTTTTTAAACTTATTTTCAATATTAATTCCTTAATAACATTTCAAAACATAATGTGTTCTTTTAAATGCTATGTTCACATCATGGGCTCTTTTGTTGGTTGTATGATTTTTATGTAATAAAATAAAGTCGCTCAAGATTTTAAGAAAATACCTCTCTGTAACAAAAACATTCATACATTCTATATCAGTTGACAAACAATCACAATACCTTTTAAAAACTGAATCGATATTTGTTTTGCAATCGCGGAGAGATTGTATAGTAAGTCATAAAGAATCAAATTCAAGATATTGACAAAGTTTGAAAGAAAAAGATATTTGATGCATGTAAGCTTAAAAATCGAATTCATTCGGTGAGAAAAAATTGGATAAAAATGTTTATTTGTATACCTCATATGCGTAGGAGTTTTCATTTTCAAAATAAAATCTGCTGCATGTTTTGGAATCGGTTTCATTCGTCTCGAGACTGATGACGTCATAGTGGCATTTGTGGGCGTTGTAACTGACATTAGCATTGTATGAACTATCAGCCGAGGGCACTTCACATGAATACTCAGGAATAAAACCTGTGATAAAACAGAAAAAAATCAAATTTAAAAAAAGAAATATAAAAGTATCTATTTATATTTTCAAACATATATTGTGTATTAACCATTCTGCTATAAATTATATTTATTCTATATTAATTATTGGACGTTTAAATCCATTCTCGGTTATATATAAAACATTGAATGAATAAAGTTTCCCACTGATCAATATCAACAAAAGGCATTGCGAAAAAGCTGTACTTCTATAGTACCAGGTTACAAACTGCATTTTCTCATTTTGAATATGAATTAAAATTTCATTTTACATTGTTATGAACAATTTCGAATATAATTATGTACTTTAAAACTATTATTAATCCTATGCGTTAGGTTCTAATTGATTATTCCAGCTTGATAAAAAAAATGAGAATAAACATCATCAAGGCAAAGGCATATAAGAATACATATGAAAAAGTTGATTTCCCTGTATTTCCAAGCGCATTTTAATTGCCAAGTTACTAATACGCTTGAAAGAAAGCTAACATTTGCATAAAGCACTACAGCTTGTAAGCAACTTTATAAATATTTTTTGTTTCTATTTGCTTGTTTTGTTTGTTTGTTTTGGTCATATCTCGGCGGAAGGTTTTCCTGGATAACTAATCATTAATTACCATTTTCTCCACAAGTGACCAACTACTAATCTTACATGATTTCTGCTCTAGTATTGAAAGACAAATTTTTTGAGTTCATTTGTCATGGAAAATTTAGGCCTCGTCCGTGGATCGAATGAGCGACCATTGAATTACTAATATGCTAAGCGGTCGGGCGGATCTATAGACAAGTCCATGCTTAAAGCTTTAACAAAAATTGATGAAATTCTCTTTTTGAAATGAAGATTTGTTTGAACAGTAGAGCCACTTTATAAATCAGAGGTGAACTATCGTCTATTCCATAAAAAATTAAATAGGAAAATAAAAAAAAATAAGTGCAAAATTATTATAGATAATAATATAATAAATATAGATGTCAACTTACCTGTAAAAACGGCACTAAGTATTGCAAATGATGCAGGAATAAAATCCAAAAGTATCAGAAACAACTGAAAACACTGATATTTCCCCCATGGTTTTAGTGTGCGCCAAACGGCGTCCAATTCTGTTACACCTTTCTCCTGGCCCATTTCCCCGTGGTTTCTTTTCAGAAGAAAATATTCAAGATGATTTATTATTAACTTTATGACGAAAATCCAAATTCGTTATGTATACTGAAATCTGTAAGTACTTAAAGGATTTGGTTTGATATACCAAACGTCTAAAAATGGCACACTTTCAGACATCAACCATTCACGAAAGACTTCCCAAATCTTAATAATTAAGCAAAACAGTATTGAGTTGCACAAAGACTGGATTAGCGTCGATAGTTACCGTCAACAGATTATTTTTTGTTAACCGTTCTTTTTGTTTTCTTTCAAAAATATTTACTTCGGAACGCTGCACCTTCACATTTTACACTGCATGAAAGGTTAAACCGACTTTTCAACTGTTCAAATTAACATGGATTTAACAACTTTAAACGAACTTTTTCATTGTACTTTCTGCTTGTGAAAATTTAGTTAAATTTGATAAAAAAGTAATTTTGAAACTCCGACCGGACAAGTGTAACCTGTTACAAACGATTTGATTTCATTTGCGAGTTTATAAACTTTATCTTGATAACAAACTTAAATGAAAGTTTAAAAGATTATTCATATTAAACTATACCCCATGCAGATTATTATCAATCAAACAAGCATTCATTCAATCAATCAATCAATCAACCAACCAACACCCAACTTATCAGTTAATCAAGTCAATGAATTAAATCAATCAATCAATTCATTCATTCACTCGGACAATACGGCCATAACATTATCCTGCCTAACACAACATACTTAACATGTTTATGATAATATGATTTTATCTAACACAACATTAATTAACATACATCTCTTTTAACAATATACTACCTAACATAAGATTTGTTACATATTATATAATCCTACCTAACACAACACTTATTGCGAGATTATATTTTCGCGAAATCAATATATTGCAAAATTGGCGTAGGTAAATACTTGTGAGTTTCTACTACATTAGAATAGATTAGCATAAAATAGAATAGAGAAAAATAGAATAGAATAGAATAGAGTATTAGTAGAATAGAATGAAATCGAATACAATGGGATCGGATGGGATAGAAAAAAATATATTAAAGAATGAAAATGCAATGAAATAAATTGAAATGGAAATAAAGGAAATAATGAAGGTAAGAAAGGAAGGAACAAACGAACGAATGGAATAAACAAATAGAAACAAAACAAAAATAAAAAAAATAACAACAAAAAAGAACTAACAAAAGAAACAGCAAAAATAGCATCTAAATATACTCATCATAAGGTTAATAATTATTGCTCATTATTACAACATTCTTTTTGCTTTCAAAGCTCCCTTACCTCAACAGTTTTAGACAATTATATGAGCCGCGCCATGACAAAACCAACATAGTGCGTTTGTGACCAGCATGGATCCAGACCAGCCTGCACATCCGCGCAGTCTGATCAGGATATTGTAATAGGGTTTGTAAGCGAACAGCATTGATCCTGATCAGTCTGCGCGGATGCCCAGGCTGGTCTGGAGCAATGCTGGCCACAAACGCACTATGTTGGTTTTTTCATGACGCGAATATGTGCTCGAATATGACAAGATAAAGTCATAATATATAGAGAATATTTGTTTAGTTCAGTGTAATATCGGAATATATTTCACCGAGTGAGCACCAAAGGGTATATTTCACGATTGGCGAAGCCACGACTTAAATATATGAAATTTTGGTGTTCACGAGGTGAAATATCTTTGGATCTTACTCTAAAATAAATAAATTTTCTTTTTATTATATGCTAATAAACGTTTAAAAAGACATTTTAACCTACTACTAAATGAAATTCGCACCAAGTAATACTACAACGTGACGTCATTTACGACGTCACGTCATCAACCCGGCTTAAATTCAAAACAGTAAAAAATATCAAATTAATAATTTCACTGTTCCAAACAGTCACATTTCACTGATATATTTCTATAAATCACTGAAAAGCATGTAATAAAAATGTATAATTAAGGTTTATGTAAAACATTTTGTTGAAAAATAACATTTTAAAATAAAATGATATGTTAACATGCACCTGTTTGTAGAGTAATAAATACCGATATATGATTTATTATCCCTTTATCAATTTAGAAAAGAATTCTTAAACTTGTAAAAAAATAGCTTAAAAGAATAGATGTTAAAACAATAGCCTACAATATAGTATCTATCAAAACATTTTTAGATATCAATAAACGTATACCTCTTTTGTGTGGCAACAAACACAAAATTTCTTTAAAAAAATGCTCTCTTTGTATATCAAGAAATCTACTGAAATTGACTTACATACAACAAAACCGTTCTTGCTTTTAAAGATAAGTAATTTTATTCTATACGTGTTAATGCATACGTTTCGGCTGACTCTCTTAATCTTAAAGCAAAACTGAAAACACGCCGGTATTTATAGTATACATGGAATAATCGCCGCTCGTGTTTACCACGAAAACTGTTTAACTATATTTTGTTTCATCACTTATAATGAATGCCCTATCTTTGTAATTACCCTGTATTATGTCGTTGCAATCAACGACGAATTTTCAGTGATAAATAACAAATGTCTTTATGCTACTGTGCTGAATATCATTGACCTTTATGAACTAATTTTTGATATTTTGCAGAACCAGCAACGTATGAAATGTACTAATCCCACCTCAACCCACCGTCCCACACACTTACCAAATGGTATTATGAATTCTATAACATTATTTTTTTAATAATACTTATTCAAGTTTAATAAAGTATAGATTTAATAAAGTATAGAAATAATGGAAATGGATGTTCAACCAGAATATGAGTTCAGTTGTGCTCTTGAAAAAGATTGACAAATTTAACATGTGTCCTCTACACAGACAGCAGTCATGTATATAATTTTTATAAACGTCACAATTATCCAATCAAAGGCGACGTTACAGGCTTGTAACGCTGCCTTTCATTGGATAATCTTGCGTTTCAGGCTTGTAACACCGCTTTTCATTGGACAATCGTGACGTTTTTTTTAAAAGGTCGTTGACTTCGAATCTCTTGCCCCTTATCTATGTGGGTTCGAAACCAGCCAGGGACTTTGAATTTTTCACTCAAGGAGAGTTTTCACTAGCTAGCATAGGAAACGTTGGTGGTTCTTACAATCACGTGCTCGTTCATACCTGAAATAATGCACGGAGAGACATCTGACGTGGAGCTGGTGCGACGTTAACCCAAACTACATACACAGTTGTTAAGCTGCTACCAAGTTATGAGGAAATGTCCTATCTTTCTTTTTTCCCAATGAATGAAGTTTGCTGTATTATATATTTTAATAGGTTATTTAACGTTCTATTGGACAATACATGAATGTTTTTGTCGAGTACAGGTGGAAAAACATATTGGAAAGCAGCCTTTGATGTTTTATTATGGCATGCTGAACTGTTGTGTACAGTTCTGGAAATATACTGTATTGCTAATATTTTATCTTCTGGTTCATCAATTAGTTTTTTAAAAATATTTTTAACGCAAAATAACCAATGCACTAAAAACAAGTATAACTTACATTGGTGCTAAAATTGAAATAGCGTGTATATACAACTACATTTACCAAGTCGGAGTTTGTAATTTTCTCATAGGTAAAATATGATATAAAACCATATTCACCATGTTTTGTTTCTAATAATTTTGTTGTTTCTTAGTCTCTTTTTATATAAGGTATATATTGATAGATAGATATTCTGTGGCTTTTGACTGTGTAATAGTATCGATAATTTTTCCAAATATTTTTATAAACAAATTAAGTATCCGTAATCAAAAGTTTGCAATACTTGTTTTCTTTGTCTAAATTCTACTATCAGGTCAAAATTAAACCAGATCTTGCCAACTAATTTACCTGATGAGCTATGTAGCCGAACGTGGTTATCTTGTTTTGCTTGTGTCAAACAACACCCGCTGTTAACGTGAACTGCTATAAGAATATTAAGACTATATACTTTTGTCTACTTTTTGTAATCAAAAGTCCAGGGATTTAGGTATTTTTTTTTACTTAAAAAACTTGATGAAATGCAAAATTCTCATATCTGAAATGATATTAGTTTGTTTCCGGCCATAAAATCTACTCATGCGAACAAAGCAGACGGTATTTCCATGTCGTCTGATGACGCACTGTTCCGCTATTTCAGCCTATATATAATTTGATATTTTCTCTTAAAGTGTTGAATGGTATTCTCCATATAATAGAATACAAGTACATGTAAGGTATTATATTATGTTCAGTAAGGTTAAGATTCAAGGAGGTCAATTTCACAGTAGAGTATGTTAAGGACATTGTACTGTTTTGATTAATTAATTTTTCATAAGTGCTAGCTTAATAAGTCACGTTTGTTTTTCAGTGTCCTTGTTCTTGTACATGTATTAGGATAACATTTTTATTCATGGAGTTAAGCCAGTTTTGAATTATAAGTGTGTATACTTCTAAGAGGGACGGCGCTCTGTAATAAAGTTTATGGTTGCAGAGGCTAAAAAGCCTAAACAATGCAAGGATTTTCAGAAACTTGTTATTCCGATCAACCTTTAAAGCTTACCCAATGTACTACAGAATTTTTCTCGGGGTGCCAGTTGCCGAGTTGATAATATAAGAATCTTACATGGCAGCCGGTACCGACCGGAATATCAAGCTCGAGGGTAACTGTTTACTGCGGTAACGAGGATCTGCCGAGTTTCCGCTAAACAGTTTCACGAGAACTAGATATTCCCGTCTGTACCAATAGCCGGTGTTCGATTCTTTTTCTTGCATGTCAATTATTTTAAGAGCAGAAATTATGAAAACTGATATTCTCCTACGCATTTTTTTGTTATAGTAGCGTATGTCTTACAGGTAAAATGACGTCTTCCTAAGAACAAAAGGTGCGCGACAATGACGTCTTTTAAAGCAAGCGACTTGTCTTACATTGGGGTGTAAGACAGAGTTTTCTAGCACCGGTGTAAACGGTAGATAATCCCGTCTAACTGCAAGAAAGTCGTTGATCTCAATTCCTCTTTCCTTCTATCGCTGTAAGTTCGAACCATGCCATTCTTAGTTCTTACATGTGAGAAAGCTATTAAA